AATGACGGCCAGCAGGGCTGATGCCAACCCCCAGGAGATCCAGTTTGCCTTCACGGTCCACCTCACGGCCACGCTGGCTGGAATCTGCAGCCAGGCCGTGAACAGGATCATGGGCTTCGGCACACGGTACCTGGAGGATTCGTTTGCGCCCTACGGCAAAATTCTCCAGGTGAGGAGGAGGATGAGCCCGGGGCTGAGCTTCCAGAAGCGAGTCAGGGCAAGTGCCCAGGGAAGCTGTGGCTGCCCCATCCCTGGAAGTGTTCAAGGCCAGGTTGGATGGGGTTTGGAGCAACCTGGGCTAGTGGAAGGTGTCCCTGCACAAGGCAGAGGGTGGAACTGGATGAGCTTTAAGGTCTCTTCTCAACCCAGACATTCTGGGATTCCATGATTCTGGAGCCCCTCTGCTCTGGAGCCAGACTGGGAGAGCTGGGGGTGTTCAGCCTGGAGAAGGGAAGGCTTCAGGGAGAATTTACAGCTCCTTCCAGTGCCGAAAGGGGCTCCAGGAGAGCTGGAGAGGGACTTTGGACAAGGGCCTGGAGTGACAGGACAAGGGGGAATGGCTTCCCACTGCCAGAGGGCAGGGTTAGATGGGATATTGGGAAGGAATCCTTCCCTGTGAGGGTGGTGAGGCCCTGGCACAGGTTGCCCAGAGAAGCTGTGGCTGCTCCATTCCTGGAAGTGCCCAGGTTGGACAGGGTTAAGATCAATCTGGGATAGTGGAAGGTGTCCCTGCCCATGGCAGGGGGTGGAACAAGATGAGCTTTAAGGTCCCTTCCAACCCAAAGCATTCCATGATTCCACGATTTTATGAAAGTTTCTTCTGTCTCAGCAGAACAGAGAAAAGCTCAGGACAGACCACTGTGATAGCCCAGACTGACATCAGCTGCTGTGAAGGGCCTGTGGTGCCTGGGAACCCAAGGATGAAGATTTACTGGTGGGAGGACAATCCCTGATGGTGACCTGGATGTGGGGTGAACTTCTGAGCCCTGGATTTAAAATCCTCGAAGGAAAACCTGAGCAACAGCCAGAGCACTGTGAAATGCTAAAAACCCTCCTGGCTGGGGGCAGAGAGCCTGTAAATCAAACAAAGCCCAGATTTCACCCTGTATTTGCATTTTAGCTCCCACCAAGTGGATGTGTTGAACCTCAGGGGTTGTTGGTGTTTGTGTATGTGTATTTATTTACCTGCTTTTCTATATGTATCTGTGAATGTACAACATAATTTTTGTAGTTTCTGCTGTCAGCCAAGCATCCAGTTTGGAAAAAAACCATAAAACTCAAATAAATTGGTGCCTAAATGCCAGCCAGGCTTATCTTCAGGGTATTGTGTGAGGCTTTTATAGATGGAATAACGTTTGCTTTGCTCCAGCTGCTGTGGCTGCTCCTTTCCAAGTGGCACAAGGGACTCAGACAGGGGATACACAGTGCTGTCCTGCCAATTTTACGATTTATAGTCATTCCCTTTCCAGCAGAAGGAGATTTACTGCCCAAAGCAGCTTGGGTTAACACCAAGAACTGGGTAAAGCTCGTTCCTGAGCGGCGCAGGAGCTGTCACTCCCTCGAGGACCGAGGGGATTTGCAGCTGCCAGGGTCTCACCTACAAGCTCTAAGAAGATGTGAAATGTCAAAGGGATTTAAACCCTAATCACTGGGAATGTTTCCAGCTAATCTTTGCCCAGACCCCTAAGCAGGGCCATGGATTAAGGCAGCTTGGGGCAGGGGGGGTGAGTGTTGCCAGGGCTCGGTGTGGTGGCACCAGCAGGAGCATCTCCCTTGAGAGGTTGGACCAGCCTGGAATGGAGGAGATGAAGTTTTGGGGTTTGGAGTGTGCAAGAGGTGGGATGATTTAGTAGGTTGAAGGTGATGGTGGCAGCAAACAAATATGTGTGTCTGGGTCAGGGCCATGTGTGGGGTGACAGTCCCTTGTGGGCCTTTGGTGCCAGCTGGGTCTGTCCAGCACCTCCTCTCCTGGATTCTCAGTCCATTTAAAACCCCAACTAACAGAAAATAGGGAAGCAGAGCCCTTGCAGGAGGGGAGCAGCCCTTCCCCACCCCGATCCACATCCCTGTTTGTGAAGCCTTTAAGGGCACATCTGACAGACCCAGAGAGTTCAGTCACCGGCTGCTCAAGGCCCCGGGGAGGGGGGATACCTTGCAGGGGCTCTGTCTAATTTAGCCTGGGGTAATTAGGACTGTGGAAAACATCAAATCCCACTCCTGGATCCTGCCAACAACAAGTGCAGCATCAGCACCATGTTTCCTTTTCGCTGGGAAGACTTTTACTGCAAGAGAAACCGAAGCTGCTCTTGGCTGTTTGTAGCTGTCCCGATGTCCCCGTTCCCTGCCGGGAGCCCGGGGACTGTGCTGGGCTGTGACCAGGGCAGGCTGAGCTGATGGTGGGGACCCATCTGGAGGATCATGCCATGCCTCTATTTGTTTTGCATCTGAGCTCGTGCAACGCCAGGGGTGGGAGCAGAAAAGGGTTCTGTTTCCTCCCTGACGTCCCAGAGGATTTCATCCTCCATCAGCACGTGGGACACACCCACCAGGTGAAACATCAGTGAGGCAAACAACTCTTCTCTCTCATTCCCTTCTCCTGTGCTTCTCCCAATACCACAGCTGAACCAAATACTCTCCTTCCGTGGTCACTGGACCGTTTCCAACCCATCAGGGCAGCAGTGCCTGGAAAACGGGGAGCAAAACGTGCCCATCCCCTTGCACAAGGGGCTCCTGCCCTCAAATAGCCCAACCCAAAGCAGGGATGCTGCTCCAGCCCAGCACAGTGGGATGAGGTCAGAAGTGGCCACAGCTGCTGTTTAGTGCAACACCTCATGTCCCTTTTTGTGAGCAACTCCAGCACCTTGGGCTAATCTCTTGGTTATAAAATTGAGAACCCGATTGCCTGTGGCCACTGAAGATATTAAGAAGGTTTTAAAGAAGGGCAAGTTATAAGTCCCGGGGGTTTGAGCAGTTTCCAGCTCTTGGCATTACCTTCATCCTTCCCTAAACACCCCGTGGTGGCTTCCAGCAGCAAAGACAATCCCCTCGCACGAAAATCCCTGGGATCACAGACACCGGCCATCTGGGCACTGATCCTGCCCAGGCAAGAAGCAGCCCCGTGCCCTGCACAGCCCCCAGCCCGCCTGGTGCTCAGTGTGAGCCGGGGACCTTCTCCCCAAACCCACCTGCTGCCGGGATCCTGTGTCTCTGAAGTTGTCAGGCCCTCCTAATCCTGCTTTGCCAGGTGGGGAGGGCAGCTTAGAAAATCAGCCCGGCACTTAATGAGCCAATTAATGCAAAATTTGCTGTCACTAAGAGGATGATGACAAGGTTTCTTCTCACGGGACCCTGGAGCTGAGCCAGGGGGGATGATGTCTCCTGGAATGCTGTCCCGGGGCCTCAGTGTTTGCAGCAGGGGAGGGTGCAGGGGTGGATTTGGCAACTCCCAGACCCCTTAAGAACCCCCCTGTGACTCACTGCAGGACAGAGGACCGTGTTCCTGCAGGTCCCGTGGGATCATTTACACCTTTCCCAAATCTTGGCAGTCGGGGCTGGGCACAACCAAGGCGGTGCAAGCGCTGAGTGGAGCAGGAGCATCCTACACCTCTCCATGCAGAGCCTGGTGCATTCCCTGGGGGCCTGACACGCACCACAGGCACAGCTCACCCCCAGGGAACACAGGAACGATTCCTTCCAGTGTGCAAACACTCCTGCACTTCCGATGCCCTGGAGTGTTCGGACCAGTCGCAGCAAGAGATGATATTTTTGTCCTTCTTGGACTTTGCAGTACTGGAAGAAAGTCGTTTAAATGAAAGGATTTTTGCTTTCCCAAGGGCTGCAGGTGCCAGTGGCTTGAATCACACAGCTCAAAGCTCAGATATCACCAGCAGGCTGGTGGAAAGGCTGGAATGTGTGGGAGACTCACCCAAGGATGGGATGATACAAAACATCAAACACTGGAAAGACAAGAAATGAGAAGCTGCAGTAAGGCTGTGATCTGAAAGCCCTGATTCAAGCAGTTGTTCACCTCCAGGATAACTCAGGTAATTATTCAACATGTCTTGGAGCTGAGAACTTGCTGCTGTGTGTCCTGACATCCAGGTAGCACCAGAGACCTGCCCTGGCTGTGCTGTCACATTTACCTGGGGTTGAGGCAATGTCCACCAGTGACACTTCAACCCAGGGACAGTTGGCACATCTCTGCTCCCAGGACACAGCTCTTGTCGTGGGGACGCAGCAATGGCTGGAGAGGACAAGTTAAAATGTATAAAAATTGGGATGAAACTGCCCTGCAAAGGTTGTATCAGGATGCTGGGACCATCCTCTGTTTCCCTGTATTGTCCTGGCCAGGCTGGTGCATGACATGGGGAAGGAGAGCTTGTTCCTTCAGCCTGTCATCATCCACATGCCAGTGTTGTATAGACAAATCCTTCATTTCAACGTATGTAGTATTCACATACAGTTCAGGCCGTATGGTTTTGGACAACATAAACACACAGTATTTACCAATATTTATTAAACACTTCTGTTGAAAATGGCATTTTTTATTCTGTATGTTGGCAGCAGCATTGGAGCATTAAGGCTGAAAAGACACAAAGAATCTACTGAATTTCTCCATGTCTTTTTTTTAACTATTCACCAGGAAATGCAGACAGCCCAAATGCACTCTGATTTTGGTTCTGTAACCAGAGATTTGGGGAATGTGGTGCTGCTGCCCCCTCATTGGGAGGGGGAGAGAAAAACAAACCCAGCTCTTTGGTTTTTACACCCCCCAAATAATATCCAAGAGTCAGGCAAGGAAAAACCCTTCCAATGGAGAGCAAATATAAAGAATATTTCCAAACCTAACCCAGCCCTGCATCCACCCCTTGTGTAACACCCTCTGGCTTTAAGTGTCTTATACAAGCCTTTACTCACTCAGTACTGAGCTGTGCCTAAGCCAGGATTAATGGAGAATCCTATTTAGGAAAACACCCTTTGATGAAGAAAGCACAAAGCAAAGAGGAATTTTTGCACGGATGTTTCCAATTGTGCCGGGCACAGGAACATCAGAACTATCTCTGGGAGAGCTCCTGGGGCACTGCAGACCCCTCGGAATGAGAGGGGAGCCTTGACTCAGCCCTGAGCATCAGCCTGGCTGTGGTTGAGGATTATAAGAGCTGTTTTGATCAGGGGAAAATTTCTGTTTTTAGCACAGGCAGCAATTAAAATAGCTCAGGAATCTCAACGCCTCGGGGAGCTGTCATAAAAGGAGGCAGAAAAACCATCTTCTGGACTCCTCTGCACCAGAGATGAGCCTGGAGGGAGCAGAGCAGAAGAGAGCCTGAGTTTCACCTGGTGAAAAAGGACAGCCCGAGACACCGAGGCGGACCCAGCGCTTGGATCCCGGGATGGCTGTGGAGGATCTCCGGGCTCCGAGCACCCCTTTCTCGCTCTCCTTCTCGGGCAGTGGTTTCCTGGCCCTGTACCAGGTTGGGGTGGTGCAGTCCCTCCTGGAACTGGCTCCCGAGCTCCTCAAATCTGCGTGCAAGGTCTATGGGTCATCAGCGGGGTCCCTGATCGCCGCCGCCGTCGTGTGCGGGATCGGGCTGGGTAAGGAACCGTCACCTCCATTTCCTTTTTGGGGAGATTTTTATTTCAAAAATGGTGCCTCGAAGTGCTGGGGGGGATGTTGCAAATGATACAACTTTCCTAATTCTTTTTTAATGGTCCTAATGAGCCCTTTAATCAGTTGTTTTCGTTGATCACAGGTTGCGCGTTGGGCCTTAAATCGCTTTTGGCCAGCGCAGAGCAAAAAGTTGTCATAAGCAACTTTTGTGAGAACACAGCTTGGGAAAAGGGCTAAAACTGTAAATTTTAAAGTTAACCTTGATAGGCTTCAGTGAACAAAGCCTGTGAGAGAAAGATGTGTTGTTGAAACTGGACATCTGGAAACCAGGACCTTTTGCAGAAACCAGCAGATAACAAAGAAGTCTAACAAAGGCTCAATGTTTGTGTCAGAAAGTCCCCACTAAAGACACCAAAAAGACTAAAAGTATGAACTAATTAGCATGAGCAATGAGGCATTAATAACCAATAGTGTGTAGAATACTAATTAACGAGAAGGAATGATGTAATTTAGAACCAATGAACATTAATTTCTTTAAATTTGTTAAAAATTTACAAACGGGTGAAAAAATGACGTGTTGGTGTCTGGGTGGAGGCAGGGTTTTTGTTGGCCACATGCACACCCAGAGCTGCAAATGAAGTGAGGCCTTGTCTTCTAACACCAAAAAGGCAGCGGTTCTGACTCCCAAAATGCAGAGTAAGAGGGTTCTGTCATTCCCGAGGATTTCAGGGGTGTTTGGCAGCAGGGATGCAATGCTGGTGTAACTCCTATCGCTCGTGAGGCACTGAAGAAATCCGAGGTGTTGTCACTTCTGGCAGCCAAGCTGGAGCAATTTTGGGTGGTGTAAGGGGAAACAGCAGGTTGTGACAGTCTGAGCGTTCACTGTCAGATGGGGGGGAGATGCTTGTGTGGGGAAATCTGGACGTGCCTGTATTCCATTGGCTCATTTTCCTGCTCCTGCTGAAGGAGCCGAACTTCCCTTCTGCTACAAGGTCTGAGGAGTGCTGAGTCTGCAGATGGCTGCAGACTTGGCATCTCCATCGATATGCCCATGTAAAGGCCCCTTGTCCCTGTAGATCAGGTCCCTTGGGTTCCTTAGCAACAAAGGGACATGGGTGACGTTCACAGGTATCCACAGAGGTGACAGCCCTGTTTGCATGTCACTTTGGGTCATCCCACCCAACCTTCCCAGAACAAGGGAAGAGGTGGTGCAATTCCCATTTCCAGACAATGGAGCATCTTTCCCTGTGGTAAAAGCTCAAGGGCTCATCAGTGGGATGTGCCTGATGGAACAGCAGTGTATATATATATATTTATATATATATATATATATTTAGAAAGAGCAGAAATAAACATTTCTGCCCATATGGGGTGAACTCCTCCACAAATCAGCAAGGGCCTCAAAATTTCCTCTCTGATTCCTCATGCTGGTGTAATGGATGGAGCTGGGTATGTCCAGCAGTGTAAGTAAATTTAGGAACTGCTCTTGGGGGCACCAGTCCTGAAACAGGGCTCTGCTTCCATGGGGGGTGAAAGGCACCCTCCACTCAGAGGGGTTGAGATGATCTTGTGCTCAAAATACCTTCCCCAGGGGAAGAAAAGACATTTTGGGTAGTGATGGCGCTGGTTGGGTTTCTAATAAGGAAAATTAAAGTGGCACAAACTCTCTCAAATTCACATTGGGGCAAAAAGAGGGTGAAAGGTGTGTTTGGTGTCCTGTGGGGTGGCTGCGGTCAGGTCCCTGTCCCCTGCCCTGACCTGGGCTGGGTGAGGAGGTCTGAGCTCCCCGAGCCAGTCTGTCCTCTGCCACCCCACAGGTCATCTCCTGGGGACACGCCTGGTCACCAAGCTGCTGCAGGCAGGGCCAGACATGGCATTGCTGCCAGGGTCATCCCTTCCGTGCCCTGAACCAAAGCCCCCAAGCTGGGATCGTCTCTCACCTCCTACCCAGCAGCTTGTGGGCAGTTTTTCCACATTTTCCTCATTCCCAGGATACAGAGCAGCCAGACAGCGCCCTGTGGGTGCACCACCTCCCTGGGGTGTCTCTGGCTCTTTTGGGATCCCCGAGGACCCCGTGTGACCCTGACAAACACTAATCATCACCACATGGCCTCAACATCCGCTCAAACACACATAACCCCTCTTAATACCTGTGTGGCTCCAGGTGCCTTCGGGACACTCCATCTAATCTGTCTGTCTGTCCAAGCAGTCTCATGAGACAGCATGGAAACCTCTGCCCCTACAAAGCCGTGGTGCTGAGGCTTCGTGCCAGTGCAGGGGCCCAGGGAGCTCCCCTGGGTGCAAGGATAGCTCTTTTGGAGCTTCATGAGCTTTTTGCTGAAGGAGTTTAACCCCCAAGGTGGGATATTCCCCCAGGGGAGCTCCCCATGTCAGCAAACGGACCAAACTCCCTCCCTGGGATCAGGAGTTTGCTGCACTCCTCTTCCTCCCCATCACTGCACAGCCTTTAAAACCCAGAGTGTCCTGAGCCTTTGGCCAGGGCTCTGCTGGGGCTCTGCTCCTTTAATCCAGCTCCTGGGATGTGCAGACACATGTAATGGTTATTAACACCATCTCACAGGTGGCTGGGGGAGCTCAGGTGAGTGGGGAGTCCCAGGACACTTGGCTTGCAGGAAAGCTCTAAACAGAGTAGGTGCCCCTCATCCCCATCCGTGAGCCATCCCATCACCCCCAGGCAGCTGGAAAACGAGGTGGAAGGCAGGAACGTGCTGTGCAGGTCACATTGGCACCTATAACTCTGTCTGCAGAGTTCTTTGGAACCTTTCCCTAATCCCTCCCTTGAGCACCTGTCTCCGGTGCAGACGGGGATTTCACAGACGGGGTCACACTCAGCAACATGTTGTCTTTTGAGGACATCGTGGGGGTGATGTCCCCTTTTCTGCCCTGCCACAACATTCCCCAGCAATGTCATCCTGGGGTCACACAGAAGGGCTGCAAGAGGCTTTATTTGTGGGGAGTTTTAGGAATAGGATGAAAAATATAACTGGTAGGGCAGCAGGGATATTGATTTTCTCTCTGTCTTTCCCCTGTCTCTGTTTCAGATGACCTGAAGGAATTTTTCTTTGCCCTGGCAGCAGAAGTCAGGAAAACCATCCTGGGCCCCCTCTCTCCCAAGTGCAGCTTGCTGGCCAATATCAAGGCTGTTCTGCAGCGAATGCTCCCAGAGGATTCCTACCAGCTGGCTTCAGGGAGGCTGCACATCTCACTCACACGGGTGGCAGATGGCCAGAATGTCATGGCCTCGGAGTTCAGCTCCAAAGAGGAGCTCATTCAGGTACACAGTCATTCCTCTGATGCTGAGGAAGATCTCTGCCCACTGCTCGGGGTGGAGGAACCTAAACTGGTGTTTTTAACTGCACTGTTTTCTACCCTGAGTAATAAACATTATAGTGCTTGCCAAAATTTTCTACTGAGAGGATCAAGAAGCTCTGCCAGAGCTGTGGTCCCACCACAATAAGCTCCCTGAGTCTTGGAGGGAGGGAGATGTGAGGTCCAGAGTCAGACAGGAACAAATCATGCTAAAAAAGCAGCAGGGTTCTTTCCAGCCTCATAAAGCTGATGTTGGTGCTCTAATTAGTGCTGATGACTCTTTAAGAGCTCTGTTAGTGCTCAGCTCTCTGGAGAGGCCTCTCCTCAGCCAAATCCCATTGGCAGTGGTTTTCCTTGTTGCCTCAGCACTTTCCTGGGAGGTAAGAGTTGGACAAAGCTGCTCCCAAACAACAAGCAGCTGATTAAGCAGTTAATTATCTGGTTAATTATCTGGGGGAAGAATCCCGGGGCAAAGACTGTGAGGTCCTAAACTTGCTTGTCACAGGGTGACAGCAGAGGGTGGCAACTCCATGGAGATGTTGGAGTTCACCCCGTGGTGCCTCTTCTAGGCAACCCAGGAGCCCAGGGAGCTCATTCCCAGCTGATGGGGTTGCTGGGAAATAGTTCAAATGCCACAGCAGTGGCTTTATCATTGACAAATCCCAGCAGGATGAGGATGAGTTGTGAGGGTGTCTTGGTTTTGTCCAAAAACCTGCAAAGATGAACAATGGCCCCAAAGCTTCACCTTGCCACTCTCACAGGGCAGTGTTGGACAGTGATATGTAGATTTACACCTATTAATTCTGGCAGGGCTTAATTAAAGCAATTTTAATTAAATTTAAATAAATTTAATTTTTAAAATTAATTAAAATCTGAAGGGCTTTGCCCTGCTCAAGAGAATTATTTCAACTTTAATGAAATGAGCTGTTTTGCCCTTCTTGAAGCCTTTCTTGCCACAGTCCAGGTGGCACTGGCAGCCTGGTTTCAGACTTTGTCAAGGCTGAATTTTCAGGCACCCAGTCAACAGCTTTTGTCCAGGGGAACTTTGACAGGAACATTGACTTCTGCAATCCCTCTCCTCCCCCAGGCTCTCCTCTGCAGCTGCTTCCTTCCTATTTACTGTGGATTCATCCCTCCATCCTACCGAGGAGTGGTGAGTGATATTTCCAATAAAACTCACGCTCCCAGCAGCGTGTTCTTGGGTTTGAACTTCATGTTCCCTTGAGCAGGGTGGACTATGTAGGTCCAGGCTTTTTCTTTAGCTAATGGAGGAGGATAAAGCCTTTCAGCTTGTTCTCCATCCCATCCTAAGGTGATAGCCGGGTGGAATTGCCATCTGGAGAGGCCTCTCCCGCTTTGCCCACAGACAGAGCGTGGATGACTCAGTCTTGCCTTGCAGATCTCCAGCGTGAGCTGAGAGGAATCCCACGCTCAGGAATTAGAGACACAATCCACTTATCCTGGGCAGGGTCTGCCTGCAGTGCAGGTGTCACTGAGATCAGGTGCAGACCTGCACGGCTGAGACACCGAGAGCCTGTGGGAGGATCCTCCCCCAGCCCTGTGCATTTTCATCCCCTGTGCTTGTCTGGGTGAAGGAGGAGCACGTCAGTGTTTTCCAGAGCTTTCAGGGGTGGGGCAGCCACAGCTTCTCTGGGCAACCTGTGCCAGGGCCTCCCCACCCTCACAGGGAACCATTCCTTCCCAGTGTCCCATCTAACCCTCCCCTCTGGCAGTGCAAAGCCATTCTCCTTGTCCTGTCACTCCAGGCCTTGGCCAAAGTTCCTCTCCAGCTCTCCTGGAGCCCCTCTAGGCACTGGAAGGGGCTTTAAGGTCTCCATCCCTGGAAGTGTCCAAGGCCAGACTGGACAGGGCTTGGAGCAACCTGGGCTAGTGGAAGTTGTCTCTGCCCATGGCAGGGGGTGGAATGGGATGAGCTTTGAGGTCCCTTCCAACTCAAACCATTCCCTGGGTCCATGATTGCTGTGTGAGGCCCCTCTGCACTGTCACTTCATGAACATTTAACTTGATCAGCTGCAACCTCAAACCCCACTGAGGTGGGTGGCAAATTCAGATTCCTTCTGGGACAGAGCAAATGACATTTTCCTTGCCCAGTGAGCAATCCCCCAGGGCTTTACAGACAATTATTAAAGTGGGGGCCCTGCTGTTTGAGTTCAGGACTTGAAAGTTATACAACACTGTGTGTTTGGTGATGTTTGAATTGGCTCACAACTGCCAAATTTTTTTTTTTTTTACAAACCTTTGTGAATTAAAATAATTATATTCCCATGTTAATAACTGCTGTGGATTACAGCACCTGGTTGAGGGGCTGGCTGGGTGCCACAGGCAGGGCAGCTGGAGGAGCTCGTAAAGCCTGGGATTAAGAGTAAGGGTGGGAAGAGATGCTGTTGAAAGAAGAGAGGACGTGCTGGGACGTGGTGGGAGATTCTTCCCCTGGACTCAGCGCTGGTGAGGCCACCCCTGGAGTGCTGTGTCCAGTTCTGGCCCCTCAGCTCAGGAAGGACATTGAGGGGCTGGAGCAGGTCCAGAGAAGAGCAACGAGGCTGGGGAAGGGACTGGAGCACAAGTGCTGTGAGGAGAGGCTGAGGGAGCTGGGGGGGCTCAGCCTGGAGAAGAGGAGGCTCAGGGGAGACCTCCTCACTCTCTGCAACTCCCTGACAGGAGGGGGGAGCCAGGGGGGGTTGGTCTCTTTTTCCAGGCAACTCTCAGCAAGACAAGAGGGCTGGGTCTCAAGTTGTGCCAGAGAAGGTTTAGGCTGGATATTAGAAAGAATTTCTTTGCAGAGAGGGTGCTCAGCCATTGGAATGGGCTGCCCAGGGAAGTGGTGGATTCTCCATCCCTGGAGGTTTTTAAGAAGAGACTGGATGTGGCATCAGTGCCATGGGCTGGGAACCACAGCGGGGTTGGATCAAGGGTTGGACTTGATGATCTTGGAGGTCCCTTCCAACCCAGCTGATTCTATGATTCTATGATTCTGTGATTCTGTGTCACCCATGGAGCTGCTGGTTCTCATCCTGGTGGCACTGCCACGACCCTCAAAGCAAACCCTCCCTCTGCTCCTGCCCACAGCGCTACGTGGACGGGGGGTTCACCGGCCTGCAGCCCGTGTCCAGCCTGGAGGAGCCCGTGATCACCGTGTCCCCCTTCACCGGAGAGCTCGACATCTGCCCCCGGGACTGTCCTGCCATCTTCTTCTGCTTCCAGATCTTCAATGGCAGCGTCCAGATCTCCATAGAGAACCTCTGCAGGATCAGCTACGCTCTCTTCCCACCCAGCACCATGGTGAGCCCACCAGGGCTTCTCCCAGCTTTGTTTTGGTTAAAAGAAATCAATTCTGCTCCTGCCTTCCCGAGCTTTAGGATTCAGCTGAATCTCCACCACTTATTAATCAGATTTCAAAGGTGGGGGGGAGCACCAACTGTTATGGCAGGACGTTATTTGGGGGGGACACTGCTGATGGGTGGGCAACCTGGGGTGGGGGTCCACAACCTGCAAAGGACCAGATGGAATGAGATGATCTTTAAGGTCCCTTCCAACCCAAACCATTCTGTGATTCCACGACCAGTGTTTCTGTGGTTGGAAACCAACCTGTGCTTGCTGCCTTCCCAAATGGGCCATCCCAACCCTCCATGGTCAAAGAGCTTTGGATAGATCCTGCACTGCCCTGCCTGGGTTGGGGCTCTTCAGTGACCTCAAGTCTTTCTCCTTGCAGGTCTTGAACGACATTTTCTCCCAGGGGTACCAGGACACTGCCCTTTTCCTGTACAGGAACAGTAAGTGCCACCCCAAGACCTGATGGGCAGATGTTTGACAGGCACAAACATCATCCCTTTCTCTCCGTGTCCCACAGATGCCTTTGGATTCAACTACTTCGATGGCAATTTCCGCTTCGGCAGCACCTGTGGGAAAAACAACTCCACCCAATCCAAGGGGACACACCCCGGCCTGTACAGGAGGATCCCCGAGAGCCTGACTCCTTACTTCCTGCCAGGTAGAGGATTTGGGGTGCTGAGCTCAGGTTTAGGGCTGCTGCAGCCCTCAAGGGGAGCAGTGTTATATTTAAGACATTATTGAGTTATTTATTATGGTAAATATTTCTACATCTGCAGTAGCTGCTCACAAAGAGGCTTTGTAAGAGTGGCTCAAGCTGGACTTGGGCCTGGGCTTAAGCATCTACCTGAGCTGCAGCTGGACAAGAGGGATTCTTGCATCTATTTGATTATTTCTGTTACTGATCTTTATTTCCTTCTGTGTTGTCGTTCGTGGGCACAGGCTTGTGGAAGAAGGAGCAGATGAATGGACTGCAGGATCCCCTGGCCAGGATCCTGTTGCAGCCATACAGGCTTCCAGCTTTATTCAGGAAGGGGTAAGAACACCCTGAGAGAGGTATCAGAGAATGACACACAAACCAGGGGTCGTGGCTTCAGCAGTGGTGAGACAGCTGAAGGGACACATGAAGGGATTTACTGTTCCCTGAAGGCAAACTCTCAGGGAGAGTGGGTGTGGCTGGTGGGAACACCACAGGATCACTTGGTTATGGAAAAGATTGTTACAGGGTTTACATTTACCATTAACACCTTTTCCTGCCTTTGCCCATCATTAAACTCCGGCTGTTTATTTTCCTTTTGCAGGGTGAAGAAGGTGTGGGGGCTGCTGGAAGGTGTCACCTCCCTGGTACAAGGACTCCATAAACTCCTCCAAACCTTGGTGCCTGGTTTGCCCAAGAGAGCCGTGGACAGGAGGTGAGAAGCTCAGAGGATGCAAACCCTCAGCATAGGGAGAGGAGGGAAACCCTGGGGGACCTCACCCATGGGTCACTGATGCTGAGCGTGGCTAAAATCTCCAAATCTGGAGTAGCCCACATTAAAAATAGCTATTTTTCCCCCCATTATATTATTTTGATATCTCAAAGGAGCTACAAAACAGCTCAGTGCTGCTTCCCTATTGCAACATAATCGTGTTCCAGATATTTGTCTGCTGGGCTTTGTCCTGGCACGACATCAGGAACGCTCACCAAGATCCTGAGAAATGTTTTGGCACTAAACTCTCAAGGATTTGAGGCACTTAACTTGTCACACCGACAGCTTTGAAGTCGTATCTCCCCAAAACCTGCTTGCAAGTCCCTTCATGAGCAGCTGGAAGGAGACTCGCCCAGAACGATTCCACACAAACTGCTCAGCTCTGAGAAAGCCCTTTGGTGTCACACACCCCTGGGGCTGCTCATCCCTCTTGGTCCGTGGATCTCGACTCAGGTGTCCCTTTGTCCCCACAGGTAACTGTCCTGGGCAGGCCCTGGGGGTCTCTGATGCCGCTGGTTCCGTTGCCTCGGGAAGGGATGGGTGAGACCAGAGCTCATCTCACACACCAGCACGGCTGCTGGGTTTCTGTGGAATAGTTTGGAGGGTGTTTTTTTTTCACCTGGGAGCTGATCCTGCCTCCAGTGCTGCTGCCCCTGCTCAGGCCTGTCCTGCTCTAACATGACAGGCGAGGCAAAGCTCTGGTGCTGCTCCTGTGACCCAGCACAGGCTGCAGGAGCCACTGGGCAGCTTCACCTGCAGGCACCCACGGCCCAGCACCTGTTTCCCTCCCCTCTCTCCCTCCTCATCACCAGCAGCCTCCCATCCCTTCCTTTAATGCAGATTACAGGGCAGGAATTTGCCATGAAATGCCACATTTTAAGTGTTTTCCTCCCACTCAAAAACTTCCAGAGCAGTTTCATCTGAGCAAGGGAGAAGCCTTAGGGAGCATCACACTGGGCAGGAACCAATTTTTGTCCAGTTCTCTGAAGTTACTTTACCAATCCTCTATCCTTGAGCTTCACACAGCCCCATAGCTCTGCTTCTCCTGCCTGTGGAGGTGGGAGAACATTTGGATCCCCCTCAAATTCGCAGCTGTGGACAAGAATGGAGAAACCTGAAGATTAACCTCCTCCTACTTCAGAGTCCTGCAGTCTGTGCATTCCCTGACATTTCACAGATAAATTAGTTCTTTTCAGGGAATTGTCTGTAATTTGCAGCCACCCACAGTGCAGGGCCCAGGCAAACACCCCCCGTGTCTCTGGTCTGTACAGAGAATTAACTGGTAGCTCTCTTAATTATCCCAAATCCGAGCTGCACATCAGAGATGGGTTGGCTTCAACCTGAATCTCCCCTATTTGATGGTTCCCAATGGACAACAAATGGATCCCAACAGCACAAACTGTTTATGTGAATAAAGAGCCTGTTTAATTGCACAAAGGGAAATGGAACAGAGGGAAGTTTCATCCAAAGGGCCCTGGGGACTGCAGGCATGAATGTGGGGAGCAGCTGAAGGCTGCTTTGATGTAAACAGATCCAAAGTTAGCTCTGAATGCTCTGTGAAAGATTAATACACCAAGTTCTGCTATCTTTGGTTGAAATCAGGGACCTGGGAATATTTTCTCTGGAATGAGCTCGCAAAAAAGAAACCTGGATGCTTATTTCATAGAATCATGGAATGGTTTGGGTGGGAAAGGTCCTGGGCTTCCTAGCAAGCACCACTACCTCCAGGCAGGATATTCCCATTTCAGTCAGACTCAAGCAGTTACAGTTCAAATGGGAATTAAAATCCCCCAAAGAAAATTTTCCTTTTTTTTTTTTTTTTGGACACCCAAATCCACTAAATGTGCCTGCAAATCTCAGCCACAAACTGGAGCACAGTTTGAACTGCCCAGTGTGTCCCACCTGCCCCTATGATCCTTAGTCATAAAAACTCAGTAAAACTTCGAGGACTTCAACAAAAAAACAACCCACAAGAAACACCCAAACCAAAACAGTCCCAGCAAAAAGCCCTCCTGCTCCAAACCTGCAGAGATTTGCTAAGAGAGAAATATTTAACAACTCAATATTGAAATCAGCTGGTTTTTGCTTTATTAATCCCTCATTTTTTCAAGGAAGCACAGCTGGTGCTGCCTCCTCTGCGTGAGCTTGGAGCTAAGGGCAGCAGGAGGCTTTGCCAGAGGCAATGGATAAATCTTGGCATCAGTTGGAATCACCTTGTGCAGGACATTGTTTCACCCCAAGGAAGCAGACTGGAAACCCAGCTGCACCCAGTCGGGGTAGATCCACTCTGGAATGCCTCCCTTGAGGTGGGTCACGGGAAGCACCAGGGTCTGGGGCAGGGATAGAAGGGGCTGTTGGTCCTGCCTGTGCTGCTGATGTCACTGTCACTGTCACATCCTTGTGCTCCTCAGTGCAGGTCAGGCTCTGCCTTCAGGCTGGGCTGCAAGTTCCTCATTCTCTCTTTGAAAGATAAACTGGAGCTAAAGGCAGCAGCGGGGCCAAAAATGCTCTTCTGTGGCTGGCCTGGCCCTAAAGGGAGGAAAACCACATTATTCTGTCTGACAGCCAATTCTGGCAGTTCCTGTGAGACAAACTGGATTCAAGTACCTGAGCAGAGCTGTTCCCTCCCTCCTGCTGTCCAAAGGGCAACAGGACAAGCAGGTTTTGATATCCCTCAAATATTGCCCTCCCACCACTGTGCTGTTGTTTGCCCCATTGAACTCAGAAGAAATGTGAAGCCTCAGGTGGATGGGATGAGAGTTTGGAGGCATTCCAAGGCAGCAGGAGCTCCTCCAGCTCCGGGGAGGGAAGAATCCCAGAATCTGATCCAAGCAATGGAGCCAAACAAAACCAAGCCTGTGCTCAGTCCTGCCTGTGGCTCTGGCTGTTGGCTGCAGGTGCTTCATGCCAGACTCTGCTTCTAGTCCAAGGACTAAGGAGGGTGCAACTCCCTGTGCAATTGTCCTGCTGGGCATGAGGATAGAGAGGCAAATCCTTGTGGATTGTGTCCTTTGGAAACAGGACTTACTCAAGAAATCAGGTACAAGTTGGTCACAAGTTTATCCCCCTGCTGATTTGGCAACAGCGATGATATTGCACAGATAAACAATAAAACAGCCTTTTCCTGGCCTAGATCATCAGGGCTTTTCCTTCATGGATATGGAAAACCTCCTGTGTTTCTCCTCTGGAGACTGAGAGCCCACACTCACCTCTTGGTTGCTCCCTGGCCTAACAAAGGAGTTTTGATTCCTCCCACAGGTAAACTGATTTCAGTGAAAAATGTTGCAGCCCAGCTGCAAACCAGAGACAGAGAGTCCTGATAGCCCAGGAGTCCAAAGAAGCCTCATTCCTACTGTGTTGCTTCCAAAAGCTCCACGTAGCTCAGAGTGATGGAGCCTTTAAAAATGCAACCATGGAAGCAACAGCCTCATACTGTGTCCTGCACTTCTTAGTGGGCCTAGAGCTGGTTTGTTTTCCATGGAAAGACCTTCCTTGCTTTTATTTTATGCTTTTCAAGCTTTTATTTTTAGAGCTGGAAAGGTAACAGTCCTATTCTTTCCACTTCATATTCCTCGTTTGGTGTGGTCCTCCTAGAACAATATTCAGGTCTTTTTTTTTTTTTACTTTTTATTTATGAGGCAACATTTTAAATAATCAGCATGTTGAAAAAGCTGTGTCATTTTGCCTAAGCTGACAAATTCTGAAATGTTGAAAGACTAAGAAAGAAAAAGGAAATAAATAATAAAATTGTAAAAAATGTTGCATTCCAGCAGATACTTCTTCGTATTTCTCTAGTAATAATAACACAAACTGGGAACTGAAATGCTGAGGATTCACTGGTTTTCTGTCCAAAATTGAAATGGGAGAGGGCATTATTTTGCATAGGATTGCAGAAAACTGCAAGTCTTGGATTTAAACCTGCCCTGTGTTGCTCAGAAATGATACAGGTAGAGGTTTGCCTGCAGCTCTGAAGTGCCTTCCTTGCACTCAGAATTTCTCTGGCTGCAACCAGAGTGACTAAGGAGAAATCTGGATTTGACCCTGGAACCCTTGAGACACCCTTAATGAAAGGATGTGTGGACAGAACCTGTTATTACCTTGCAAGCTGAGTAAATAAATGGCTTTCTCCATGGAAAGAGCTGCTGTTCCAAAGAGCCCTTCTGAGCCAGCTACAAGCCTTAATCCTCACCTAAAACAGGTTCAGCATAAAGCCTCACTAATAACCCCTGACCCAGGGGGGCCTTTTTACCTATTCCTGATGTCCTCACATCTTTTCTGGAGCCTCCAAAGTCCCAGAGAACCCCTTTGGGCAGTGACAGCCCTGGGCCAAGTGTCACTTAGCCCGTGAAAACTGGTGGGGTAAAGGAAGTGCCGGTTCTTTACCCTTCTGGGGATGGTGAAGGTGATGTGGGGCTTCATCTTCTGCCTGGGTGGTCCCTTGATTCTCTTCAGTGACCTCCTCAGGGTCTGTGGCTCTGGAGCAAAGTTCTCTCAGTTCTGGCTTCCAGTGCAGGGTCTCCTCACCTTTCTGACATGATCCACTGGTGAATGAAAGCTTAAAGCCTTTGAAGTAATCTACAGGGAAATCAACTGTGGGGAAGAGAATCCAGCTCTCACTACCTGTTCCTCAACAACCTGTTCTCCAGCAGTGTGAGGCATGACCAGGGTTGACTGGAAAACAGGGATACTGGCGACCCCATGGTTAATTGGAGTTGGGTTTGGGGGTCAGGGATCACCAAACTTTGCTGCTTTGTGATCAGTGGGTTATCAAACACCTCACAGGGCACATAAGTCTCCATTTCTGTCCAGGTCCTGGGGGCCTGAGTTCCCTGGGAGAAAGTTCTACCAGGCCCACTGTGGCAGAGAAAAGACCAAACATCACCAGAGAGTGACCAGGGAGCTTCAGGAGAGGCTGGGAGTCAAATAATCCTATAATGCCAGGGATGCAGGGATCCCTCTGCCCAGGACCCTCTGGGTGCACTGGCAGCATCTCTTACCTTCTGTCAGCAACCCAAAAATGTGAGAGAAGCCCCCAACCTACCTGCTCCTCACTCCCAGTCACTTACTCAGTCTCTTTAGGAAGCAGACCGTGTCCTGGTAGCCAGAGGCAAAAAACCGGTCCATGACCTGCAGGGGGGAGTCTCCAGTCAGGGCAGCTGGGCCAGAGAAAAGGGGGCTCGTGGCTCTGAGTACCTGTAGGAGCAGCTCACTTGGCGTTTGGGGAGCTGAAAAATGTGCTGTAAGCGGCAGAGGTTCCTCGTGGAGAGGTGCAAAATGCAGTCAGAGAGCTGGAAGTTGAAGAAGGCGGCGGCGCCGTCCCGGGGGCAGATGTCGTATTCGCCGGCGAACGCAGACACGGTGATGGTGTTCTGGGACACGAAGTCAGCTTTCCACATGGCCAGTTCCCCGTCCACGTAACGCTAGGAGGGACAGCAGGGAACCCTGGGCCCTCCTGGTGTCAGGGAGAGCAGTGCTGTGTCCCATTTGGGGTTTCTTCCCCACCCAGGCTGAGGCTCTGGGGCTGCAGAGATGCCCTTCCAAGGAGCAGCACAGTTTTTGTGCTCCAGGTCCACACCCACCACCTCCTCCCTTCCAGCCACAAAAGCACTCTTTAACGGGGAGGCAAGAGCAGCAGAAAGGAGTTGAGCCAACCCTGGGGACAGGGGGAGGATGGACAATTTTGTGAGAGGGTCCGTTCAGTTTGCAGTAAGGTCAGACTTTGGGGCACCTTCTTCCCTCTGTAGACACTGGGGGAACATGGCACTGAGCAACTTTGGTGGCAAACACAGGTATAAACATCCTCAATGCCACCACTGGAGAAAGAGCACAGCCTAGAGGGGCCCTTGGCCTGACCTGGGACAGGGTCTCCAGACCACAAGGTACTCACCACCCCACGGTACTTAGGAGGGAAAAGTCCAAAATACGCTGGGATGAAGCAGCTGCACAGTATGGCCTGTGGGTGAGACAGGAAGGACAGAGGTGAGCAAAGAGCCACAAAACCTGTTGCCCTTGGGAGTGGTGGCTCATCTGTGAATGCCAAAACAGAGACCCCCAGCTGGGTTATTGGGCACCACTACTGGGCACCAGACCACGCCTGATATCCACAGCCAGGGCTGGAGAAGTAGGAAGGGAACCTGTGAAATGCCTCATACTCAGGATAATTCAGCCATCAATTAAAAGGGCTGATTGTTTGTATTATTTCAGCTTGTGAGCCTGTCTGGGTTCAGAGGGGTAAGGGCAGAAATCATGGGGTGGGTTACAGTGAGGCCCCAGGGCCTGTTGGGATGAGACAAGGGTTAGGGTTGGGTTTGAAACTAAAAAGGGTGAGATTTAGATTAGAAATAAGGAAGAAGTTTTTTACAGTGAGGATGGTGAGGCCCTGGCACAGGTTGCCCAGAGAAGCTGTGGCTGCCCCATCCCTGGAAGTGTCCAAGGCCAGGTTGGACAGGGCTTGGAGCAACCTGGGACAGTGGGAGGTGTCCCTGCCCATGGCAGGGGGTGGAATGAGATGGGCTTTAAGGTCCCCTCCAACCCAAGCCATTCCCCAGTTCTCTGCTGTGGGGCATGGCCAGGCAGTAAATCCCACACATCTCCCCTTGCTGTGGCTGCTCCCACCTGGATCAGGTCCTCCTTGGAGGCAAACTCGGACACGGTCACACTTTTCCAGTCGCGCAAACGGGTGAGGACAATGTGCAGCTTTCCAGACACCAGCTCGTGGGCATTGGGAGGCAGGTGTTTGTCTAGGCCATACCTTAAGATTTTATGGACTCTTTTTCCAGGAACAAGCCCCCACAAGCAGGTTGTCAGACGACTGAGGACGGTATCCTTGAACCCATCTGAAGCAAAGCAGAGCAATCATTCTGCATCCCTTATATGATTAGTGACATACTATTATGTATTATTTATGTACTTGCTGAGCTGCACTTCCACCTGGGAAGGGGGCATTTTACCACCTTGTGAAATGCTCACACAGAGCCATTATTTTCATTAGGGCTAAGCCTCTCATGAGTAGACCCAAATTTTCCAAGGACTTTCAAAATTGCAGGAAACAGAAGTATCTTGTTTTCTTATCCCATTTATCTTGATTTTCTCCACAAGGCATCTTAAAAATTTTTGGAGATGTGGGAGAAAACTGACAAGAAGCCTTTGTAAAACTTTTCCTCCTGTTGGCTCTTGAATCTGTGTTCCCCCCTAATGTATTTTCTTTCCCCTCTGTGTTTTGGGAATCTACCAGCAAGCCCAAATGACTTATTAAGGAGAGAACTTCTGTTTCTTATATTAGACATGCTTACTATTAATTCAAATTAATAAGATGCATGACTTATTTAATAATTATATCTAATCTGTTTTCTCTCTGCTGGTCAGTTTACTCATGTTTTCCACTCTTCCAGAAGTCAATAAAGCAAAATTCTGAGGAATTAATCACTGATTAATTAAAAAAACCCCTTTTGCAACTCCCAGATTCCAAGATATTTGATCTCTTTAGGCTCAGAATGGACAGAAGTGCACAGCTCTTACCTATATCAGATCCACACAATCCAACTGTAGCTACAATTGATCCTGAAGATGATCCATAGATCCTGGATGCAGATTTCAGTATGTCAGGAGACAATTCCAGCAGAGCAGACAACACTCCAGCTTCATATACAATCAAGAAACTGCAGCCTCTAAAGAATACAGAGTAAGGTCTTCCCTCTTTTCCACTTATCCTCATCATCTCTGCAAACACCAAGCACTCCAGCCACGAGAGAGCAGCTGCCCAACACCTTCAGAGGGTTTTCCAGAGGCAGACAACCCTTAGCTGTGTCCCACTGTCTTATATCCCTCTGTTTGTCATAAATCTCTGAGCCAAACATCCAGTGAAACAGCAGCAGTGGGCAGAAGTGGATGGTGTGATGTCTTAATGCCTAAGGCCACCCATTAAAATCAGATTATTACATTGCAGGGTGCCTGAGGTGAGCACTGAGCTGCTGGGCAGCCCCGGGACACGTCACACTGATGTGTTGGGGAAGCAGCTCAGGGGGGCCCCAGAAATGATTCCTCAGGAGGGAAAAGCTGCTCCCCCAAGTACTGAAACTCCTCCATGGTACCCCAGGGTACCAGCACGAAATTCCAGCCTCTTGGGAGGTAGGAATCAACAAATATTTCCTGGTGTGAGTCTTGCAAGATGCTCCCCAAAGCTCTCTTGCCCCATTTGTAACACGTTACCAAACCCCATCCCAGGGAGTGGAAAGGGTGGTTGGATTACTAAAAAAAATCACAACCCAGGTTGTTTTCCTCATTTCACAACTTCAGGGTCCAAGTTTGCTTAAATAAAGGGCAAAAATACAGAGTCCAGGTAACAACTCGTGGCTTCACCTGCCTCCTAAATGGCCAAGGTAGAGCAGCAGGTTCGTAAAGAAGTAAAGAGGAGGGGGGAAAAAGTCTGGCAAACCCAGTGATTTACTGATTATCCACCCAAAAATGCAAAGCCTTCTTAGTCCTGCACCCTGGAGAGACATGGGGAAACTCCTACAAGGAAAGCCAGCTCTGAGCTGGGCAAGGTCAGAGGCAACTGGACAACACAACCAACAACATCAACAACAACTTGGACATATTTCTCTGGAAAATCTACCCAATATCCTCAGGCAAAAAGGCTTCCAAAACCACTTTGGAGATGCTTCTTTCCCCCTTGCTGTGTTTTGAGGCAGTGCTGGAGGAGTTTGGTGGCTCGGTACTGCCCTGATCTGTGCAAAGGAGCTGCAAAATACCCCTGGGGGTGGCAAAGCAGCTGGGCTGTGGTCTCCACCAACCCCCAAACCGTTCCCCGGTGTTAATCCAGCCCAAATTCCCCACGGGAGCAGTGTCTGTCACCACCAAGCTCCACCCAGGAGCCACTAAACTCCTGCACACACCCTGTGGGCCCCTTGCAGATCCCACTGCTGAGCTGCAGGGGAAAAGAGTAAAGTAAAACTGAAGAGTCAAGCGAGGAACAAATATATTCCATGACTAGTGAAGAGCACAAATGCACTGCAAATAACTTTCCATCTACTCTTTAGTGCAAGGGGCACTTAAGAATTAACTGCAGTGAGAGGGTTGATCCCAGAAGCTGCTCTGAGCTGCTTATGGGGTGCAAGAGGGATGTGGCACTTGAGACCCACTTACTTCGTGGTGAGGCACACAAAGCTCCCGAGCTTAAGGAAAACTTTGATGCCCAACTCCGTGACCTGGGTTAAAAAAACCAGAAGCAGAGGTGTGCAGAAGCACCAGCATTCCCACTGCTTCCAGCCTTGGGTTCAATCCCTCCTTGATTGGAGGATTGCCCTAAGTCAGCAGCAGGAGCAGGGAGCCAAAAGTGTGACTCGTTGTTGCAGTGCTTTCCAAACACAGCTGGACAGCTCTGTCACTGCAATCCCAAACCAAACCCACGGACCAGGCCACACAGGCCACGTTTGACTCCTAATTGCATGTCTGTACTATTGAGATAGTTTGTAAATCCGTGTGTTTTACCTCCTTGCCCAGTCTTGCAGCACCAAGAAGTAAATGGTGTTTATCTAAGCACTAGGTACAAAGTCCTTAGGAAAAGCAGAGGGAAGCCAAGCCTCCACCTGCTTATTCCCTCCTAGCAGGTGCTGCCACGTCTCCCTGGCTCTCAAACCCTTGGACTGCTCCTCATGGAGGGGCAAGGAGTTAGAAAAAAAATTGAAATGTAAGCCTATTACACAGCCCTGGGTGAGCTTTGTGTCAGAGTGAGGTACCCAGACCTCCAAGGTGGGGCTTGAAATGTGGGAGAAATCCAGGTGGTCTGAACAGGAGTGGCCCAGGTGGCATAAACAGTGATGGGGAAATCCTGCTGTGGAAATGCAGAAGCTGTTTCTCGGCCCCTCTCTGCTCTGCCCCAGGATGGGACACAGATGGTGTGTGTCTCTAAGGGATGCCCTGGGTTGTAGGTGTGTTGTTTTACCAGGCCAAATGCTCCCATGCCCTTTGGCACTTGTCATGTCTCCATCCCTGTGTCAGAAACCACTCCAAACTGAGGGACTCTGCTCATCTGTCCCTCCTCTCTTCATCCCAGCTTTGGGGACAAAGCCAAGCTTGGCCTTGAGCAAACAGAGCATCCAGGGTGGGCCAGTTTGAAGCTCCATTAGCCAAGAGAAACAAAGGAATCCATGTGTCTGAGAACACAGGGCAATACCCCAAACAGGATCCTCTTCCTTTGGCATTAAAATGATCCAGGAGCTGCCCCAGCTGCACAGCCAGGACACAGCAGGAGCAGGCTGGCAGATGCCAAGAGGTTCTCTTGCCTCCCCAAGGTGGAATATTCGAGCATTGAGCTGACACCAGATCAGACCATTCTTTCACAGGTCTGCAGTGACAAAGACGTGACCTCAGGGCTGCCTTGTTCTGGGAACCCAGTGTGTTCCTAACCCACACACAGACTCTGAGCTGCAAGTCCTTTCAAGAGAAAGACTTTGAGGAATTTGTTTCTGTGGGGCAATGAAACACCTCAGAATCAGATGTGCAGCTCTCAGACCTGAAGCTCTCAGACCACGTGAACTCATTGGGTGAGCTGGTGCTGCTGTGCTAGCAGGATTAACCAGCTGGGATCTGGAGGGGAGCTGCTGCTCACACAGACCACTGCATGTCCAGAAATATCAACTCCTGCAATGGAGAATAAAGGAAAAGCCACGCTCTGAATGGTTTCTGCACTCACTCACAGATTCATCCTCCTTAGACAGCATTGTCTGGCTGCCCTAAATGCATCTCCCTGGCTGAGGAGGCTTTTAGCTGAGTGAGATGTTCAGGGCAAAAGGGAGGGACAGGAGGGGCTGAGCTCATCCAAACTGTGTGATGAGTCCTCCCCCAAAATTTCCCGATCCAGCCATACTTGCAGCAGTGCCCAACACTGATCTAAAAGCCCCAGGACAATTGAAAAGGTCCAAAAGAGCCATTTCCTCTTGTCCTGGAACAAAAGGTTGCAAGTTCTTGTGGCTTCACATTTATTTTATCAAGACTATCCCAACACCAATGGATTCAGCCTTGTCCATATCCTGGATATCCAGCACCCTCAGTGCCTTGCTTTGCTGAATAATTGGAAACAACCTCTGATGCTGGGGTTCAAAACAGGGAATCTCAGCATTCCCTACACCTACAGCAGGGGAAAACCAAAGGACTCAGGGGGTGTAGAAATCCGAAATAGCAGTTCTATTTTGGGTTGAAATCTTCTCTTGGAAGATCCTAATCTTAGCAAAAATCAGTTTGTGTTTCTCTCTCACCTTCATGGAAGCTCAGCTGCTTTTTATTTGTGTCTAACCAGTTGGTGAAGTGATTAATGGAGGAGTTTCCAAGGCACCTCCCCAGTTTAGTGCACTGAAACAGGGGCAGAATAAAGGAGTGGCTCTGGCAGTGGTCTGGACTTGCTGACACTGGCCCAGAGTGCACATTCCCATCTGCCTGCCCTCCTCCCAGAACAGCAATTTTAAGGGTTGACACCACAATCAACATTTTTGCCACTGATTTCACTGACAACCTTTATTCTGAGTAGGAAAGAAAAAAGTATGAATGTTCCACCCTGGACCTCGCCTTTTAAATTGGTATTTCTCTAAATTTGGCAGCTCCCAGTGCCCCAGCATCCCCAGCTTTCCTCCTAACAGGAATGTGGCACACAGACCTCCAGTCTGTACTACGATTAGCATTAATTAGAGAAACCTTTTCCCTGTTCTCATGACAAACATCTCACCCAGGCACATGACATGATGTCAGTGCCCACTGCAGCCACGTGGGCTGCCCTCATGGTGATGAAACAGTGACTTCACCGGTGCCTAAGAAGGTGGTGCTTGCAGACAAGACCAGGTCTCTCTGCTGAAGAGACTTTCCTGCTGACACAGCACCCCCGGGGCTGTGAGGA